CCCCAAAACCCCAAAACCCCAAAACCCCAAGAGATATAAATAGCCTTAAAAGTTAAAAGTTAATAATTGAATTTAAAACTATCATACCAAAAAATCTGAATATAATGGATATTGTTGATTTATAGAAAGACGTACAAAACTATTATGGAAAGACAATTACTTAAACTAAGGATCTAGTCACTAATGCTTGTTGCTTAGCTGATCCAGGATTCTCAGAAAAAGAATAGGAAATTTTGACTTAAATTCACCCTGAGATTATTGATAAATTTTACGGTTGTGGTAGCCCGATTCCATCAGTCATTGAAGGCTGTACTATACTTGATCTAGGATGTGGTACTGGCAGAGACTGCTATCTTGCCTCAGGCTTAGTCGGGGAAAAAGGCAAAGTTATTGGGGTAGATATGACTGATGAATAGCTGGAAGTAGCTAGGAGACACTAAGAATATCATAAAGAAAAATTTGGTTATAGTGAGTCCAACGTTACCTTCCTAAAGGGTACTATTGAGGATCTGAAAACAATAGGTGTTGAGGATCAGTCAGTAGATGTTGTAATTTCTAATTGTGTCATTAATCTCTCAGGGGATAAAAAGAAGGTATTTGAAGAAATTTGGAGAATCCTCAAAGTCGGAGGTGAATTGTACTTTAGTGATATCTTTTCTGATAGAAGAATACCTGATCATCTAAGAAAAGATTCTGTGCTTTGGGGTGAATGCTTGTCAGGAGCACTTTACGTTGAGGACTTTAGAAGAATGATGCAAAGTGTAGGATTCTAATCAAACTACACTGTGAAGAAGAGCAGAGTGACCATAGACAATAAGATGGTTTAATTGCAAGTAGGAGAGATAAAATTCTACTCAATTACCATAAGGGCTTTCAAGATACCTGAGATTGAGGATAAATGCGAAGATTATGGTTAAGAGGCTTATTATCTGGGGACTGTTGAGGGAATGCCAGATGAATTCAGAGTGGATCAAACACATCTCTTCAAAAGAGGAGAGCCAGTGAGAATTTGCAAAAATTTTGCTCTTATATTCAAATAATCAAGACTTGCTCCTCATTTTGAAGTGAGCGATGAACAAGACCATCTTGGAATTTTGGACATGCCAGGAGTTTGCGATTCTACAACTGATGGATGCTGCTGAGAATTATTATCCTTCCAGAATATTCTTGATTAATTTCTATCTAATTCTATTTAGTCATAAAACTGTTGTTGAGGGGTTTTGGGGTTTTGGGGTTTTGGGGTTTTGGGG